ACCCTACTTCTGTAGAGCTACCTTCCAGTAGACTTAAGTTCTGTAATTCAGTAGCCATGAACACCTTGATTAGCTGGTTCAGGTTTGTTTGATTAGAGTTGAAGCTAAACTCTGCAGTATGCATTGATCCCATCCAAAGTGCACACACACACAGCAGTGAACACACACACACAGTTGGGGGTTCGGTGCCTTGCTCAAGGGCACCTCAGTCGTGGTATTGGAGGTGGGAGAGCGCGCTGTACATTCACTCCCCCCACCTACAATCCCTGCCGGTACGAGACTCGAACCCGCAACCTTTGGGTTACGAGTCCGACTCTCTAACCATTAGGCCACGACTTCCACTTTTTTTTTTACTATTTTACTACAAACTAAAAATGGCCGATGCCCAGAAAAGGCTGACATAGGAAAATTAGGTATTGTTTGATTCAGTATGCCATTCCAAATCTAACGAGACCAATCTTATGATTTTTGGCCACACTGGTCAGCAGTTATAAACAGAAATGTCAATTTGTTAAATATTTTTTGACCAGTAGGAGATGCTGAAACTACTCATGTGCCCGCAGGTCATGCTTGTTATAACACATACCAAGTTTGGTCAGAATTCGCTAAAGTGTTGTGAAGATATAGCCTTATATCCATTTTGCACAAACTTCGTCAAATTCGTTAACGCGCTTTACAAAAACGGTTTGGTATATCAGAAAGCTTTTGATAACTTTTTGCCAGAATACTCTGAAGATGATCTGAGCCAAATTTGGTGAAAATTTGACAAACTGTCTAGGACGAGATTTTTTGGAAAATTCAAAATTGCAAAAAATCTTGACCCATAGAAATGTCAATTTTGGAGTACATTAGACTCGGCATGAGCCATGGAATCAGAGGGACAATTTTTTTGCTTTTAGACTTCAAAAGTTATTAGCAGAAACATGAGTGCAATTTGGCCTTTTGGTGGTGCTAGAGGGTTTTGAGATAGACATTCCAAATGTGCTATGGTTACACTCTAAAAAATGCTGGGTTGTTTCAACCCAACATTGGGTCAAATATGGACTAACCCAACTGTTGGGTTAAATTTTTACATTAAATTTTTAACCCAAAAGTTGGGTTAGTCCATATTTGACCCAAAGTTGGGTTGAAACAACCCAGCATTTTTTAGAGTGTAATATTGAGACTGTCCTCTATCTGTGTGCCAAATTTCATAACTTTCCCGCAAGTGGTTCTATAATCTGCCATAGACTTCTAAAGCGGAAGAAGAAGAAAACTAACAGACACAATAGGTGCCTAAGCACCTTTGGTGCTTGGCCCCTAATAACTGTTTTCTATTCTGAAATATAATTTATTACTGCGATTGCAAAGCTGAATTTTCAGCAGTCATTACTTCAGCAGTCATTACATCAGAAATCATTCCAGTATGCTGATTTGGTGCTCAAGAAACAATTCTTCTATTATTATCAATAGTGAAAACAGTTAAATATTCTCTGAGAATCTCTGATGAAAGTTCAAAACAGCAGCATTTATCTGAAATAGAATTTTCTAACATTATAAATGCCTTTATTGTCCCTTTTGATCAATACTGAATAAAAGTATGAAAATCTCACTGACTCCAAACTTGAACAATAGTGTAAATGAACATACAAGATGTATCAGATGTGCGTAACTTTTTAAAGGATGCCGTTTCCGAATTTTGGGCACAGATTCCGTGTAGGAAATAAATAGCTAAAATTACTGATAGCAAATGAGAAGCACACACATAATGCATCAGTGTGGTTGCATCAGTGTAGAAAAGAAAACTATGCTTTTCCCTCATGTACTGACACTCAAACATGCAAACAAACAGTCACACTGAATCTAAAATAGCAGCTGACCAGCCCTTAACACAATATGTCACTTTAATTTCCCAGCCAAATATTGACCACCAATGACAATTCTAGCAACAATATCCAACCCTGTACTTTGTCTATTTCACAATCAGGTCACCGGTCTAAACAGACGAGGGGAGGGGATGAAGCCTTTGGTGAGTGTTTGTTTGGCGGTGGGATGACTTATCTATTGCCTACTATGATATGTACCTCCTAACCAACATGAGTCAGTACACCAACATTATTTTACAGTTAGTTTACACACATTACCCCATCTAGTCAGCACAGTAACAGTGAGTTGTGTACAGTACAGCCCAGACTCTCACTACAGTGTCATGGTCATCAGGTACAACTCTTCAGTCACATTTTCAGTCGTTTATCAATTACATCATAACTTTAATTGATCATTATCTTCAATAATCAACTAATAGGAGCAGGAACACAGTAGCTACTGGTCTCTGTTTTTTTCTGGTTTTGTTTTTTGCTAACTGAGAGAACATACAGAGGGATAAACAGAGAGATTAAAAAATACCTAAAAAAGGAAAATGCCAGAGGTACATTGTTTAAGTTGCCTAATCAATGGTTCTGTGGAAAAAAGATCACGAGAAAACAACAGAATAAGAAGAAATCAGCAGTTAGACTGATGGACTGGTGGGTGATTGAATGGATGGATGGAATACTAACTGGCTAGATGGAAAGCTGGAATGGCAGAATGTCAAAAGGACAGACGCAGCGATAAGGACGCAACACAACATGAGCAAAGGGCATAAAACACAAATGATCTGAAAGCTATTTAGGTAGTATCAGAGTAATTGTGAAGATTTGCTATAAATAATGAAAAGATGGACAGAAGAATGGATGGATGAAAGGATATTAGACTTGTTTCTCGTTTTTTCTTCACAGGCACTAATGTTTTCACAGTCATATAGGAGGAATCAAAATTCAAAAATGTCTCCAGAGTCTAGAATTGCTACAAAGCTAAAACATTTAAAACTATATCTACCACTTCCTCCAAGTATATCAAACTTAACTTATTATATATACCTGTCTGTATATATATATGTATATATTTATTTGTACATATATATTTTGTATAGATAAATGATATGATGGCAATGAAAACTGAATACAATGGGCAATAAAATATCTAAGTCAATTCACAGTATAACATGATACATGATCAAAAACAGTATATAGAGATAATATTTCTTTTTGTTTTCAAGAAAAAAGCTACATGGGAATTATAAGTCCGTTCTGTACATGCAGTCACAGAATACTGTGTTAGCGCCTTCTGACTCAGTAAGGGTCAATGACAGATCAAGTGTACTCATGGCACACTATATTAATTCAATCATTCTACATCCATCTCCCTGCCCCCCGCCACGCTTCCATGCCGGGTGCGGTGGACTTTCCGCTGACGCACCCGTATTCCCGGCATTGGAAGAAACGCTGACCGAGGGGATTAAGCGGCTGTGTGTGATTCGGCTTACACAACACGCAATTCAATACCTGAGCTTGTTATTTCTTGACTCATGCGATGACACGTGGGTCTTTAAAAAGTGGAAAAGCCCTAAATTTCACTGCAAATGATGGCGAACCTTCCCCAAGTGGTCTTGTTTAAATGAACAAGATATGAAAGGGAGACAAACATCACTTATTTCCGCGTGAACAGGTGTATCAAATAAAGGGCAATCGAATCTGTTGATCTGTGACGACATGTACAAGCCATCTATGCCCCCCATAATAAAAGTGTAATTGTCACTTTTGTAGCATCCAGAATGCTACAAAATCTACCGCATATCTACTTTTTGCTAAATCATTTCAAAGCTACATTCAACTACAACATGGGCAAATAAGCGGTGCCTGACGTCAAATAGGTATTCAGAAACTGAATCTCTGTATGACTGACATCAATTCTTTCGCCAAAATAAATGGTGTAGGATGCTTTTGGCTCAAAATCGATCAGTATTGTGTTTGTCCTTGACTCCTCATTATCATATGTTAACGTTTGCACTGACAAGAGTCAGCAACTTGTGCTTTATTACATGCAACTCTGCACTGGAAGTAGGCTTGACTTGAAAATGCACAATCAGTGACAATGACAGCCTCAGCTCTTCTAAACAATGCCCTTTACCATCCCAGAAACGCTGTAAGCTGTCTGTTCCAGTTCTAAGATGTGATGATTAAGGAACAAAACAACAGGCATGATCCACTCATGGTCCACCATTTGTAATCGTTAATGTACAGTTTTTAATATTATGTAGCCATCTAGTGCCAATCATAAATATTGCAACCCATCATGGTTTGATGAAAGACAAGTATTGCTTGTATGCAAAGAAAGGACCATTGTATTGGGCAGTGCCGTGGATCTAGTTTTGACAATTTAAAAATTGTGATATCAAAACAAATAAATAACTTAGTAAAAATTGCCCTTGCATCTATAATCCCACTATTTAACATCAGACACAGCTGGTTTACCCTTTTGTTAAAATACGACCACAGTGAGAGCAATAAACAGCATTAAAAGAAAAGAAAACCTGAAGGGAAAAAAAATTATACAGGAAAAATTGCTACATTTTTGTTTGTGTTCTTATTGTTTTTCTTTTGAAGTATGTCTCTTTAGAACATAATGTCATCTCTATTTGATGTCAAAGTGACACCATGGCATTGGAGTTTTGATAGGACAACCAAAGTTCTGATGAGTGAAATGGCTCCATGTAAGTTCTGATTAGCTTGGAATCAGAAATACAGAAAGAGACATAGTTTACTCTTGTTTACTTTGAGGTCAAATTTCAATTAACAATTTTCCAGCATGGCCTTGAAAGAGGAAGCCAAAGGGTGATGGCATAAGTGTCTGTTGAATGTTGCAAGTGTCAAAAAGAAAAAATTGTCTGTATCTATGTGCATCAGCTTGCCATGGAGACACTTTTTCAGTCAGTGGGTTGATGCTGATCATCTGAGCCTCTCCAAGACTGCATTCAGATTGAATATAGATTAATTCTGAGTCATCTGTAAATAAACTGAATAGTCAGTTTGAGCCAAAGCAGTATTTGATGTCTGTCGTCACATGTCGTATGTGCACGATGCAAAAATGTCTTTTCCTTGTTTGAGGGAGTGTATATGTGTAAACATGACATCATTACTCACAGAAAATCCCAGACATTTGCTATCCACTGTTCTCATTGGAAGAGAGGAGCACGGAGGACATCGTAATACTCAACTCAGACCGAAGATGGAGCACGGCTGGAGTATCCATTGTGACCGTGGCAGAATTTGTTGAGCCATTTCCTGCTTTGACTGTTGTTTCTTTGCTGCTCTGGTCACTGTCGTGGATGTTTTCCTCGTCTTGGTGCGGCACATGTATGTGCATCACACTCCAGCTGCGCTTCACAGTAGAGCTCACATACACGCGCAGCAGCGAAGCCCCGTGTCATACTTCACTTTCTAGGCTGGAGAAATGGGCAGAACCACGACGTGAGCACAAACTCTTGGCTTTGAGTGGCAGGTGTGGGGAGTAGAATCGCCTTGGCTGGGGCACCGACCGAAGTCTCTGGTACTGAAGCTTAGCGCTGGCGGTGGCTGCCTGGGAGGAGCCGGAAGCAGCCCCGGGAGAGAGCACAGGTGGAGGGGACATGGATGCAGAGGATGGAGGTGGAGGAATGGGCATGGGTAGGGAGTTGGGAGCAGAAGGTAGAGGCAATGAGGGCAGGAGTGGCTGAGGTGGGGAGGGTGATGGATGGGGTATGTGTTCGGAGAGCTGGGCTTGCTGGGAGCTAAGGTTGGACTGGCTTCCGGATTTGGATTTGTCAGGTTTAGGGGGTGGTTTGGGCCGAGAGCTTCCACTGAAGCTGTGGCAGTGGGGAAGCAGATCCTCCTGGCTGTGAGACTGAGTGCTGCTGTGTTTGTGGTGTATGTGGGGCCTACCGTGCCCATACTGTGTACACGTACATGATGCTGCGTCTTGCATTCTCTCCCGAGACCTCTGACCTTTGCTCTTTGACCCACTGCGGCTTCGCTTCTCACCCTTCATCTGTAGTTTGTCGACTGACCAGTAGCGCCGTGGTGGTGGCAGGGAAGTGGGAGGGGGTGGCCACTGTGAACCTAGCCCTCCACTGCCTCCTCCAGATCCCCATCCAATCCCTGGACCCGAACCCCAAAAATCACCTGCCAATCCCCATCCTTCTGCCCGACCCAAAATAGAGTCATCTCTACTGTTGACACTTCCACCTTTCTCTCGAGCAGGATATGTTCCAAAAAAACAGCCCCCACCCCCAATTCCACTAGCTTCACCCGCTCCAGTTCCTTCCCAGTATCTCTCAAAATGGCCAAACTCTCCTGAGGACCCCTCATCGGAAAAGCTTTCTTCTGTTCTGATTCTATCCCGTTCAGACTCTGACACTGCACCTCTCCCTGCCCGCCGCACTCTCTCCTCTATTCTCTCTCTTTCTCGTTCTCTCTCTCTCTCCTCTTCTTCCCCTTCTTCCTCCTCATCCTCAGAGTCCCACTCATGGAAGGACAAGCCTTCTCTTGTGTTAACTCGCCCCCTTTCATAGTGGAGAAGCAGTGGCTTGCGTTCTCCTACTCTCCCTTCTTCCTCTCTCTCTACCCCACTACTCCTCCGTCTCTTGGACGAGGAGAGGAGTGTATGTAAAGAGGAGGGAGGGGAGGGTCCGGAGGCCTCCGTGCCACCTGCTTCACCTCCACTGACCCAGAATTTAACTGAAGAGGGGAGTTTGTTGAGGTTGGGATAGCGTTTACTGGATGGTCGGTGTCGTGAATGGGAGCTTTTGGGTCTTCTTTCTCTGCCTCTACCTCCCCCACTTTCATCCTCTCGTTCATCCCTGTCATCCTCACCTCCATCTCTCCTCCCTCTTTCTCTCTCTCCCTCCCAAGCTGAAAGGCTGCCTTTGTCCACAAATCCACTGCGATATTGAGTGGAAAATGACGAGTACTCTCCCTCTCTATCCCCATCCCCCTCTCCATCTCTCTCTGCCTCAACATCACCCTCCTCTGGCTCCGACCGCTTGCCGGATGGCACCTTCTTCTTCTTTTTTGTTTTCATTGCCTTCTTTTTCTTCTTTTTTACCTTACGACGCTTTCTTTCTCTTTCTCTTTCTCTTTCACGCTCCTCCCTCTTTTTTCGTTTTTTGTTTTTCTTCTTCTTTTTCTTTTTCTCCTTTTCCCTCTCTTTCCTACGTTTCTTCTCTCTTTTCCTTTCTGTATCTCCCTGGGCTCCACCACTTCTCTCCCTGTCCCTCTCTCTCTCTGCCCATCCTGCCCACCATTCCTGGAGCTGTGCTAGTTGACTGCCACCCCTTTCTCTCTCTCTGTCCTTCTTATGCTCCCTGTCTCCAAAGGTGCCCCACGGTTTGCGTGGGGGTATAGGAGGGGGAAGTCCATGAGTGAGAGATCTAGGGGAAAGTATGGACCGCTCTCGGTCCCTGGTTCTGTTGTGGCCCTGCAGAAGACTAGACTCTTCGGTCAGCTCATCCAAATCCTCCTCATCCTCTTCCTCAGCCTCTCTGTCTCTGGTGCTACGAGATGAAGCTGTGGAAGTGGATGAAGGAGAGGTGGAGCGTGAGGATGTGGCTGAGGATGTGGTTGAGGAGCTGGTGGTGGATGAGGAGGATGATGTGGAGGTGTAGGGTAGTGAGGGAGAGGGGGATGGAGGAGTGTAGCTTGGGGAAAGTGTGACTGGCACGGGGATGGGGAGAGGAGGAGAGGGTCTCGGTCTTCGACTCGCTTCCCTGCCTCCACCTCTCCGGCCCAGTGCCAGGATGTTCTCGTACAATGGGCCACCAGGTTCTTTGGGCTTTTTTGGTCGCCGTTTCCTCCAGAAGGATGAAGGGAGATGGGGAGAGGGGTGCTGCAGCGGGGGGTTAGGTGTCAGTGGGGCTGGGGCCTGGCCTTTAGGAGGAAGCCTGGGAGTCCCCAGAGATTTAACCCCTCTACCCTGACCCCCTCCACCAGTACCCGCTCCCACCTTCTTCCCCATGCCATGGTCCATGCCCTTCTCCTGATAGAAAACCACACTAGTTGGTGGGGGTTGTTGGTGGGCTCTGGGGACTGCTTTGGGAGTTTGAGAGCCTGTCTGTTGGTCCACACATGGCCCAAGTCCCTCTGGATCAATAGGTCCATAGTAGCGCTTATATCCATCTAGACCACTACCTGCACCTCCACCACCTGCCCAGGTAGGTGCCACCTTTTGAGGCAGGGGTCCTGTTTCTGCTAGAGCTCCTCTCACACCCATGGAGGTCGTGGCACTAGTGGTTTTGGGTAGTCTCCAGCGGTCCACAACCGCCAACCTGCGATCTGGCCGGGGTAAGAAAGTAGTGCATGGTAGTGGAGCTCCTACAAGTTGAGTATTTGTGGGACCCAAGGTCGCTCCAGAATGAACAATTGTGGGAGGGGATCCAGGAAGAGGTGTTTTGTAAGACTGAGGAGGTTGAGGCTGTTGTGGTTGCAGCTGCTGCTGCTGTTGCTGCACCATGGCAAT